TGCAAGGAATTCGCGAGAGCAGGCGAAATATACACAAACCTGATCTCTGGCTGAAGGAGACTCTAACCTACGAACCTTAGGACAAAGTACGCAGTGCTTTACCAATCTACCCACTCTCACGAATTCCTTGCATTGTTAAAATCTCTAGAAAGGCTGATGCATGCAGGGGATGAGATGAAAAGCAGTAAGCCTTCTCCCTGAAAGCTGGCTGCCTTGGATCAAACGTGTAGCGCAAGCTACACGCCAAGGTATTGTCCAGTGTGGGTAGATTGGTAAAACACTGCGTACCTTGTCCTAAGGTTCGTAGGTTCGAGTCTCCTTCAGCCAGAGATCAGTGTTTGTGTATATTTCGCCTGCTCTCGCGAATTCCTTGCATTGTTAAAATCTCTAGTAAGGCTGATGCATGCAGGGGATGAGATGAAAAGCTGTAAGCCTTCTCCCTGAAAGCTGGCTGCCTTGGATCAAACGTGTAGCGCAAGCTACACGCCAAGGTATTGTCCAGTGTGGGTAGATTGGTAAAGCACTGCGTACCTTGTCCTAAGGTTCGTAGATTCGAGTCTCCTTCAGCCAGAGATCAGTGTTTGTGTATATTTCGCCTGCTCTCGGCGAATTCCTTGTATATAAATAATATATATATATATATATATATATATATAAATATATATATATATATATAATATATATATATATATATATATATATATATATATATATATATTATTATATATTTATATATATATATATATATATATATATATTTATATATATATATATATATATATATATATATATATATATAATATATATATATATATATTATATATATATATATATATATATATTATCATTATCCATTTAAGGTCTCTTGGTTGGCTACTAGGGTTTACAGCCTCTACACTATACCAGGGATCATTAAAGCTGCACGTAACCTTTACCACCACAAAAAATGAATTGAAGTAAACTCGCAAAATATACACACATAGAGAAATACACTTATCTCTGTATATATCCTTTGTCTCTTAATCTGTAGAGATATTATGGCACTTCCTATTTAGTATATCATATATTTCTTCCTCTAATTATGTGATTGTCATGGGCCTTTATTCTTTTGTATTTAAGCTTATATGTTTATTCTTTTTTTACATGTCCTGACATTCTGTCGAAATTCCTATAAAAATAATAATAATAATAATAATTTCTTCATTTACTACAAGTACATGTACAAGGTATACAGTCCTAGCTGACATCAATAATATACTACTATATAGAAAGCCCCTTGTTATGCAGAGCATTTCGGGAAAATTAGGTCAGTTTTGTCCCAGGATGCGACCCACACCAGTCGACTAACACCCAGGTACCTATTACAAGCCGATACGTGAACAGAGACAGCCGGTGTCTTACTGAAACAAGTCCCTAATGTTTCTCAGCCGGTACCCAGAGGAGATTCGAGCCCCGGTACCCAGAGGAAATTCGAGGCCCGGTACCCAGAGGAGATTTGAACCACGGACCTCAGTGTGCCAGCTGTGTGCGCTAGTGATCGAGCTACGGGACACCCGATATTCTCTATATATCAGACTGTTATTGTCTGGCTTGACTGAATCTCTGACAGGTTTTTTGAGTTGGAACATTTTTGTATTACTTCCAAATTCTGCTTTTGTGTATTTTTCCACCACCTCTTGTTCATTGTTTACTTTTTTTTGTTAACTTTTTAATACGCTTTCACATATATTTTAGAGCTCTTCTTATTAGTTGCTGTAGCATTTCCTCTATATATTTGCTCTAAAGTGTTGACACATGATTTCTTTAGCATTTAGCTTTAGGTTTTGAGTTTTTTTTTTTTTAATATCCAGCAATGGTTTCTTGATTTTCTTTTTGTTTAAAGGTTCATCTTAACCGGCTGTTGACATCTTAGGTTGACTTCACTGAAGATCTTTTTATTAAAATACTCAGTGTCACACTATAGTTCTTTTTAGTAAATTGTTCTGTCACATTAAAGATTTCTTAAAATATTCTTTTGTCACATTAGAGATACATGAAGTTTACCTGGAGAGGGTTTTGGGGGTCAACGCCCCCGTGACCCGGTCTGAGACCAGGCCTCGTGGTGGATCAGGGTCTGATCAACCAGGCTGTTACTGCTGACCGCACGCAAACTGACATACAAACCACAGCCCGGTTGGTCAGGTACTGACTTTAGGTGCCTGTCCAGTGCCTTCTTGAAGACAACTAGGGGTTCATTAGTAATCCCTCTTATGTATCATGGAAGGCAGTTGAACAATTTTAAACCCCTGACACTTATTATGTTGTCTCTCAGTGTGCTCGTGGGGCCCTTACTTTTCATCGGGGAAATGTTGCATCTCCTACCGAGTTTTCTGCTTTCATAGGGAGTGATTTTCGTGTGCAAGTTCGGTACCAATCCCTCTAGATTTTCCAAGTGTATATTATCATGTATCATTCTCTCCTGCATTCTTGGGAATACAAATCAAGGGACTTCAACCGTTCCCAGTAATTTAGGTGCATTATCGAACTTATGTGTGTGCCGTGAAAGTTCTCTGTACACTCTCTAGGTCAGCAATTTCGCCTGACTTGAAGGGGGCAGTTAGTGTACAGCAGTTTTCTTGCCTAGAGAGGAGAGCAAGTGATTTGAAGAGAATCATCATGGGCTTGGCATCCCTAGTTTTGAAGGTTCTCATTATCCATCCTATCATTTTTCTACCAGATCCAGTAAATATATTGTTGTGCTCTTTGAAGGTGAGATCCTGTGACATTATCACTCCCAGGTCCTTCACATTACTTTTTTCGCTCTATTGTATGGTTAGAATTTGTTGTATACCATGATATAATTCTAATTTCCTGAAGTTTTCTATATCTGAGTAGTTGAAGTTTCTCTTCATTAAACTTCATATTGTTTTGAATGGCCCATTTGAAGAGTTAGTTGATGTCCGCTTGGAGTTTTGCGGTGTCTTTGATGGAGGTCATTGTTATGGAAATTCGGGTGTCATCTACAGAGGAAGACATGAGGACGAGGATGAGTAATAGAATGGGAGCGAGTACTGTGCCTTGTGGAAGAGAGCTTTTCACTGTAGCTACCTCAGAGTTTACTCTGTTTACTATTACTCTTTGTGTTCTATTTGTCAGGAAGTTATAGGTCCATCTACCAACTTTTCCTGTTATTCCTTGATCATGCATTTTGTGCGCTATTACACCGTGGTCGCACTTGTTGAAGGTTTTTGCAAAGTCTGTGTATACTACATCTGCATTTTGTTTATCCTCTATAGCATCCAGGACTTTGTCATAGTGTTCCAGTAGCTGGGACAGACAGGAGCAACCTGCTCTAAACCCGTGATGCCCTGGGTTGTGTAATTGATGGGTATGTAGGTGGTTGGGGATCTTGCTTCTTAGAACCCTTTCAATGATTTTTATGCTATGAGATGTCAGTGTTATCGGTCTGTAGTTCTTTGCAATTGCTTTACTGTCACCTTTGTAGAATGGGGCTATGTCTGCTGTTTTTAGTGAGTGTGGGATGACCCTGTGTCCATGGTCCCTCTCCATAGAATGCTGAAGGCACGTGACAGGAGCTTCTTGCAGTTCTTGATGAACACTAAGTTCCATGAGTCTAGACCTAGGGCAGAGTGCATGGGCTTGTCATTTATTGTCTTTTTCAGAGTCTTGTGGTATTAGGATAATATCAGAGATTTTTGAGATTACCAGATTTTGGATCTCGGTCATAAAGATTGTCAACCCTTAGTCTGGGTAAAGGCTCGCTGAACACCGAGTCGTATTGGGACTTTAGTATCTCACTCATTTCTTTGCTGTCATTTGTGTAGGTCCCATCTCGACTGAGCAGGGGCCCAGTACTTAGATTTAGCATAAGAGAAGAAGTATTTTTTTTTTAATTTCCGTTATGGCTTTTAGTTCTTGCTGAGATTCTTGTCTCCTGTAAGATTCCTTAAGCTTAAGTTCGATATTTGCTATTTTTCTGATCAGTGCCTCTTTTTATTAAAATATTTTCTGTCACATTAAAGTTCTTTTTATGAGATATTCTGTGACATTTATTTAGTTTTTGCAAACTTGAATTGAAGACTTGGATCTCTAGTTCAGGTTTTCCCTCCTTCATGTTTAGTTTAGTCAGATTTTTTTTTGTTTTGTTTTATCGATATTATGTCTCGTTAGCCGGATAGTTTGGGATATTGGCAGTTTGGAATGACGTCTAAACCGTCGTATCTGAGCGCCTCTGCAAAGACAGTGATTTTGCATGAATGATGGTGAAAGTGTTGAAGGATGCTGAAAGTGTTTCTTCTTTCTTTTTCTTTTTTCGGGGGGGGGGGGGTGGGGTCACTCTGCCTGGGTGGGAAACGGCTGAAGAGTTGGAGAAAAATGTTTTTGGGTTGGGCTCTCTGTATTGATTCCAATGATGTTACTTATTTTTTCATGAATTTCCAGCACATGTTGATTCATTTTTGTTTCGACTGTTTAATCTTATTTTCGTACTCTGTATGCAGCAGAACTTTTCATATTTTTTTTATTGATCCCATGTAACACCTTATTCCATGTAATTTTTTTGAAACACTGTCTTGGAGTGGCATAATTTCCAATTATGGTAATGTAATAGATGTTAGGTAAGACACATATGCAACAGTTAGGTATCTTTATTTCGAAATAAAGATACCTAACTGTTGCATATGTGTCTTACCTAACAACCTGTCGGTATTTTATACCATTTTATTGTTCAATGTAATAGATCTTGTTTGTGTTTTTTTCTGTCATACCTTGCAATATGCGTTATCTCGAATAGTCATAATCGTTTTTATTATTTGCGTTGAGGTCATACTGAGGATTTCCTCTTTCCTATTAAACACGAGGTCTATCACTGACGGTGTGCTGCCTTCTCCTGTTGGAGTTGTGTTTGATACACTGATGATGTGTGCATGTTTGCATGTCACTGTGGGTGACAGCTCCCCGAATGAGTTGACTCTTTGATCTGCTGATTATGTATCACTCAGGTTGACAGCTTCCTGAAGGAGATCTTCACTAAGGCGCAAAACGAGAGTCACGTTCCTCCAGTACTGGTGGGGATTCATGTCCGCCGAACAGATTACGTCGACTTTATCAGAGTGAGCTTCTTGCAAACGTATTTATTCTTTTTATTAATTTAATGCTCATAACTACCTAATTATTTGCTTTTGTTATCTTTTTGCATATTATACATTTTAGTTTTCTCTTTTGCTGTTAGGGGCATTCCCTGCTCTAACCCCAATTTGTATTTACTTTTTTTTTCTTTCCTTAATCTATATTTTCTCATTGCCTCATCTATTATTTAGAGCAGGTGGTGGCACTGGTAGGTTCTCATTTAGCCAGTGGTATTAGATTGTATTTTTAACTGAAGGAAAATAATGATGGTAAATGTTATAAAACTTGAGATTGCAGCCTTGAGACCACACCAGACTTTCTGACATGAGGAACCTTCCACTGCTTGGAAGGAAGAGTACAGAGATATATGGATACGAAGACATGACGACCGGATAAATCCGTTATTAAAACAACATTTCGGTCAAGGAGAGCCGTACTAGGTCATCAATAAGTGATAAAGCTCAAACGGTCTACTACTGGCACAGTTCTCTTTACTTGCAATAACTAGTAGAATATTAATTACTCTCTGGTTGATTTGTTTTAAATATTCGTTCTCTCAGGTGGTTGTGAATGACCAAGTGTTTATTACTGTTGAGCTTGTTTGTTTTCCTGTGATCGTCACAGTCTTCCAGCCGAAAAAAAACATTTAAAGAGATATACTTGTGAAGTAGAGTACATACACACGTGTAATTCAGCAACACCTGCCTTCTATTCCCCCAGGGATACAGAGTTAATCCGTCTGGAGCGGTATGCAGGATTTCAGTATTGTGAAGAAATGATAGCGTTGCAAAACGTTTGTCCCAACAAAATCTTGTTTGCAACCGTCTTTTCTTCGCTGTCGTCGGGAGTACTAGATCTGGATTCAGGTTATTAGGAGTGTTTGATAAAATTGGTCAAAGTTCTTTATCCACAAGGCACTGTACTTTAGTAGACTCGTGCCTAGTATGGACCAGTAGGTCTACTGCTGTGTTCCTCCTCTCTTATGTTAAGTGACTGCTTTTTAAAGCAGTCACTTAGTATAAGAGTGGAAACTTGCACTTTGGTAACCGTGCAGGATATATTAATCGAATACCACCTTATTACAAATACACTTGTACTTGAGGTGAAGTGGTACAGCGATTAAATACTGTGGCATGCACCAAGTGCGTCACAATTTATTTCCTCTGTACCAGACAAACTGACAAACAGGTCAGAGTAGCTGCAAAAGAGTCCCAGCTACTCTGATTCGCTCTCAGGTTAATACATCAACCAAGTGGATGAGAGGTTGCCCCTTAACAGTATTGATGTTAGGTTTCCACACCAGACTATTACACTTGCTGACCTAATTCACACATACTAGTCTCTCTTGAATGTGACGTTAAAAGTCAATTAAGGTGAGTGATCTCACTGTGTTTTCTCACCCATTAACTACTATTGCACCTAGTACATATTATAAATATTGGTTTAAGGAATATATGGGAAATCAAAAACTCCCCTTTTGTGTTGGCGTTTGCCATTACATTTTGGAAATTTTATCCTGGTCTGGAGATTTGATTTATGGCCAGGTACTAAAGACCTTAATGTATCTGTGTTTGTAAAAGAAATGTAATACAGGAATCTGAGTCACGACCTGACAGACTGATGTTACCTTTGGTTTCTTTTGATCGTACTTGGTGAACCTCTCCTTCCCAAGGCACTGATTGATTCTATGCTGATTTAGTGCTTTTCCGTGAAAATAGTAATAATAACATGCGTCAAGAAGTGTACAGATCTTGCTTCCTAAAGCATAGCTGCAGCAATCTTTTCCACAATGGTTGTGGTTCAGTTGAATTATTTGTGAGCTTTCGTTATAATTAAAATAGGTTCAAGATCTGTGAAAACATCTTTCTGACTGGTGCCACTAGTAAAGCTAATATTGTGCCCTCCTACTGAATTACTTGGATTCTCTGGTAGAATTTCCTTCACTAGTTCACTGGAAATTCCTCCAGAGTATCCAGTGAACTGGTGCAGCCATCTTAGAAGCAACACATAAACCCAGTCTCCAATATTTTAGTTTAAGTTTGACTTTTTTTTCCCTACACGTTGTTCGGGAGAAACCGCGAGTTATTTCAAGCATACCCTTCAAGAGTCGTGTTCGCCTACCTTGAGGCTGACGAGGGACGGAGAACATCTCAGAAAGTACGATGATAGAAGGTCCACGAGGATAAGCATCTCTAATCCCATTTTACAGGCTTCTGAGGTTACAAGTTTTCTCTAAAATTTCGTTGCTGATGTTAAACTTTAGAGAAACACCAAGGTGGGTATTATTTTTGTGTGCGATGACACCTGTCACATGGTCGATGATATATTAGATGATATTAGTTCAAATTTGGAAAATTGAAAAGGCCCAGACTCTCTCCAATCTCTTGGATTTGCTCACTGGTGTGTGTGTGTGTGTGTACCACCGAGCGCTGTCATGTGCTTACACACACACACACACTAACCAAGAGCTGTGAATCGACCCCAGTAACTACATATAGGCGAGTACTCACTCACGAGAACGAACACACACACACACACACACACACACGCACACACACACACACACACACACACACACACACACACACACACACACACACACACACACACTCACACATATAAGTTAGTCATTGCAGTGATGTATAACCCACCACATAACTGCAGGAGGCCAAGAGAGGAATATGAAGAGATCAACAGTCCAATGGTGGACACACTTGCTGAGGTGGCAAGAAGAGCTCAGTCGTGCAGAGCAAAGTTACTGATTATGGGTGATTTCAACCACAGGGAGATCGATTGGGAAAACCTGGAGCCTCATGGGGGTCCGAAACATGGAGAGCCAAGATGATGGATGTGGTACTGGAAAAACTCATGCTTCAACACGTCAGGGACACTACCAGAGAGAGAGGGGAGGATGAACCAGCAAGACTGGACCTTGTGTTCACCCTGAGCAGTTCAGACATTGAGAATATCACATAAGAGAGGCACCATGGAGCTAGTGATCACGTGGTTCTGAGTTTTGATTACATAGTAGAGTAGTGCAAGAAAGGTATAAAATACCGACAATATGAAAGTTAAGACACGAGGGCATAGTCACTCGTCTGCTGCATGTCCTTATCCACTGACGCCTATATAACCGCCAGTCTTCTTGCCTTTGCTCCAGATTCTCCTCCACCACGATGCTGTGAACACTAACTCCAAGGCTGAGAGACTGATTACCTCATCTTTTGTATATAGTTCTACTGTCTTCCAATTATGTCCTAGAATCTGTATTGATAAAGCCACTGGATGGCGAAACGTCTACAATAAAGATATCCAGAAGTTGCACATGTGTCTTAACTTTCATAGTAGAGTTACAAGTGGAGAGGGTAACAGGAGTCGAATGGGAAAAGCCAAACTATTAAAGGAGGCACTACACAGGCATAAGGAACTTCCTGCGGAATATGTAACAACAAAATGCAAGGAGGCAGAGGAAAGGTTTGTTCCCAAGGGCAATAGAAACAATGGGAAAACCAAAGCGAGGCCTTGATTTACCCGAAGGTGTAGGGAAGCAAAAACTAGATGCATTAGAGAAAGGAAGAGGTACAGAAGGCAAACGACCCAGGTAAATAAGGAGATCAGTCGAAGAGCCAGAAACGAGTATGCACAGATAAGGAGGGATGCCCAGCAACAGTACAAAAACGACAAAGCATCGAAAGTCAAGTCTGACACGAAACTACTGTATAGCCACGTTAGGAGAAAGACAACAGTCAAAGACCAGGTGACCAGGCTGAGGAAAGAAGGTGGGGAACTCACAAGAAACGATCAAGAGGTATGCGAGGAGCTCAACACGAGATTTAATGAAGTATTCACAGTGGATACAGGAAGGACTCTAGGAAGACAAGACAGAGGGGGACACCAACAGGGAATAAACCAACAAGTACTGGATGACATACACAAAACTGAGGAGGAGGTGAAGAAGCTGCTAAGTGACCTTGATACCTCAAAGGCAATGGGACCAGATATCTCCCCATGGGTCCTTAGAGAGGGAGCAGAAATGCTGTGTGTGCCATTAACTACAATCAACACATCCCTTGAAACTGGGCAACTACTTGTGGTATGGAAGATGGCAAATGCAGTTCCCATTTTTAAAAAAGGAGACATAAAAGAGGCACTAAACTACAGACCAGTGTAACTGACGAGTATAGGATGCAAAGTCATGGAGAAGAGTTTCAGGAGGAGAGTGGTGGAGCACCTGGAACGGAACAAGAGTATAAACGACAACCAGCACGGATTCATGGAAGGAAAATCCTGTGTCACAAACCTTCTGGAGTTTTATGATAAAGTTACAGAAGTAAGACACGAGAGAGAGGGGTGGGTTGATTGCATTTTCTTGGACTGGAAAAAGGCCTGCGACACAGTTCCTCACAAGAGATTAGTGCAGAAACTAGAGGATCAGGCGCATATAACAGGAAGGGCACTGCAATGGATCAGAGAATACCTGACAGGGAGGCAACAACGAGTCATGGTACGTGATGAGGTATCACAGTGGGCACCTGTGACGAACGGGGTCCCACAGGGGTCGGTCCTAGGACCAGTGCTATTTTTAGTATATGTGAATGACATAACGGCAGGGATAGACTCAGAGGTGTCCCAGTTTGTAGATGATGTGAAGTTAATGAAGAGAATTAAAACAGATGAGGATTAGGCAGGACTTCAAAGAGACCTAGAGGCTTCTCGAATTCAACCCTGCCAAATGCAAAGTCATGAAGATCGGAGAAGGGCAAAGAAGACCGTAGACAGAGTATAGGCTAGGTGGCCAACGACTGCAAACTTCGTTCAAGGAGAAAGATCTTGAGGTGAGTATAACACCGAACATGTCTTTGGAAGCACACATCAACCAGATAACTGCTGCAGCATATGGGCGCCTGGCAAACCTGAGATTAGCGTTCCGATAAAATTAGGAATCTTTCAAGACACTGTACACCGTGTACGTCAGGCCCATACT